ATATTTAAGGTCTCATAAAATGTAACATCGAGAGAGACTTGTGGAGTATCAGAGCCGGAAACAATCATGAAAACCAGGTAGTCCAGCCCCCTGCTTTTAGCGATGAGGCTACAGAGCTGACGAAGGTCGAGTGATTTATCCAGGTTACATGGCTGCAAGGAGGGGTAGAGAGCCAGGACTAGAACAGACCTAAGCCAGTATATTTCCAACATTATCACATATTGCTAATCATCTAGAAGCACTGAGCCAAAGTATGAGCCATGGATCATAAGTGAGAGAATCTTAGCAATAGAAGAGACCTTGGAGGTCATGTAGCGCCATCTCCCTCCTGATGCAGAAATCCTCTTGGTGACATCCTTGAAAGATGGCCACTATTCTCTATTGGCTTAACTCTGATGCCAGAAAGCTCAGTGCTTTACAAGGCAGCTTGTTTTGTCTTTGGACAAAAGGTCAAACTTGTATTTTTAAAAGATCAGTCCAGAAGGAGTGAGGGTGGCCAGAGGTGAATGACATATTTTTAGTGATGGTGAGGAATTTTACTCTCTTTATCATCTTAAAATGAGGATAATAATGCTGACCGTGTAGTGTCATTGCAAGGATTAGAGGTGCAGTTTATAAAGCATCTACCATAGTGGTTACTTCAAAATAAGAACTCAAATTATAGTCATCATTGGCTTTTATCATCATGATCCCATTTTTTTGAAATTATGCCCTCTGGAGTAGCATAGACTACATCTAATCCCACAAATATTTAAAAGCAGTTAGCATGACCCTCTAAGTCTTTTCTTCTTCAGACTAAATATTCCCTGATTCTTTTACGGTTCTTCCTGTAAAGCATTTTGGATGCCTTCATTGCTTTCATTCCCTCCTGTTTGTCAATTTCCCCCTTAAAATGTGGTGGCCAAATCTGGTCAGTTCAACGTGCTCTACAGTGGAATAATTACTTCCCTTGATCTGGACATTGCACTTCTCCTACAGCAACCTAGATTTATGTTAGCATTTTTGAAGGCCAGATCATAAATTTGGCTCAAGTTAAACCTGACTCTACTACCCAGAACATAAGCTATGCCTCCCAGCATTGTGTCAACTGCAGATTTGATAAGCATGATTTTTACATCTTCATCCAAGCTGTTGATAAAAATGTTGAACAAGAGAAGGCCAGAGTCTGAGCCTCGAGGAACACCTCCGATCCTTCCCTGTATATTGACCCCCATCCGCTGGTTTGGTGACACTGTTTCATCAGCTCCAAATCTCTGCACCTATACTAGCAAAAATAACTCCGCGAGATGTGGTCACTCGTTGTGTTTTTGAAACTGGATATTTAATTTATCCAGAGGTAAAGTGCCATTCTTTTATCAATGAAGACAGGTTTTGAACCCATAATTGGGAAAATGTGAACTCAGAAAATAATTTCATGTTTGAGTTACTATGTAATGCTTAAAGGGAAAAAAAATCATCTCCTCTTAATGTGAAATGATAATGCTTGCCTAATTGTTTATTTTTCCAAAACGTTTTGAAATTACTCTCTGGGTCTGGGGGAGTGAGTGTGGAGAATTTGTGGATTTCATGTGTGGTAGAAAAAAGAGATTATTGAAGAATTAGAATACAACTTTTAGGAGCCTTTTCCATCTCAGGTGGGGATCACAGAGTCAAAGAGATGTCTTCAATGTTGGTGGGAGAGGATGTGAGGTATAGTCCTGCATAGTTTTTAAAATTCTTTTTAATGATTCTCATTAAAGAGGCCGTTCTTTCTTTGATTTAACACACTTCCCTCTGAAGAAATCAAACCAACTTCTTTGTGCTATAGCATAGCATATAGATCGGTTTTTCCTAGTTTTCATGGTGGAGATAAGGAATTGTTGTTGCCAACCTTTGAGCCAAAGTGCTCAAAGATTCAGAGCTCACTTCTTGGCATCTTCCTCCAAGGGCTCATTTAATATTTTCTCAAAGGCTTTACTTCCAGTCTACATCCCATGTTTGTGGATTTCTTCTTAACTCTGGTCCTTTCTATTTCTCTAGCCCATAATCAAACAAGTACCTTAATATCTAAAACTCTATTACTGTGAGCATACTTTGAGATCTCAAGGTAAATAAACAAAAAGTTAGCACTCTCAAAAATTGACCAGGGAATAAAAGACCCCCTCATACTGAATATTTTAGGAATGTCCATTTTATAGTTTACTCACTCACTCAGTATTTATTGAGCACTTATTATATTCCAGGCACTGATCTAGGCAACAGAGGCAATGGGGAGTAAAGTCAGATTTAGTCTCTTCTCATATTGTGCTTATGTTCTCTAGGAAGAAACATGTTAATCAAACCAAAACTATTGTGAACTTGTAAAAAGTGCTGCAAAGGAGAGGGTCCCCATCACTACAGAGGTCAGGGAAGTCTTCCTCACATGATGCTTAATCTGAGATTTGAAGGTTGAGTCAGGGGAGGGCCCAGGTAGCAGAAAACAGCATATCCCAAGCCCCTGTGCTGAAATGGAGCACGGGCAGTATGAGGGCAAGAACATGCTAGAAAGGTGGAGTGAAGAGCAGAGAGCAAGAGTGAGAATAGCGTGAGATGAGCTGGGAGGTAGGAAGGGTCCCCTATAGGCCTTGTAGGTCACACAAAGAGTGCTCTCAGTGTCTTCTGAACCATGAAAGCCATCTAAGAAGCTTGTTGGGTGGGGGTAGGAAGGTGTGGTTGGGTAAGGAGAATTGTATGATATGATTAGTTTTGTTTTTCGAAAAGATCACTGTGGCTGTATATGGGCAAAAGGAGAAAGGGAAGCCATAGTGAGTGACAGGTCAGTTAGGATACCACTATCTAGTCCAGGAAAGGAGATGATGCTGGTTGGGTGTAGGTTGGCAGAAGGTGAAATGGAAAGATAGAAAGAGATGAAGGATGTGTAGGTTGAATTTGCAATACTAGGGGACTGCATATGGGGGTGATGGAAAAGAGGTATCAAGGGTAACTCAAGGAGAGTTCATACATTTTATATCCTTCTTTGGCAATTTAAAGATTATTATTTTAAATTTTAGATTATGTAGCTCTACTCATAATCCTTGATAGCACAGCACAACAGAAATAATTCTAAAAAGAAAGTCTGAAATCCTTCTGTGCCTCAGATCTATTATTGGCAAAATAGGTGACTGTGAGCAAGATGAAAAATGGTTGAGTATCTCCGAGGATCCAAACAACGGAGGAAAAAAAAATATTTGTAATTTTTGACTTCATCAAGGCCTCATTAAGGCCCAGGGAAATATGTTTGTTAAGGCTCACTTTCAAAAGAAGTAACACAATTATCTTTATTTTCATTATTATTTTAGTTCAATTCTCTATGTCTCCAGGCCCTATAAAAAGAACTTAAGCATATCCCTACACTGCCACTCCAACACAAATCACCATTTCCTTTCATCTCGCTTTAACCAACCACAATATTTTCCCACGTCAGAAAGACCTTCCAGTGTATAAGAGGAGCCTTTGGACTGTGTGTGTGTATAAAAGCCTGTTCATGCCTCTGGGATCCCACGATAACACAGTCGGCTCGCGGTCTAAACCAGGTGCCCAGTTTCCATCTGGACTCCTGACAAACTGTGTGGTCAGGATTTAGAAATCAGAAATCTGGGAAAGGTGCAATGTGATGGACACAACCACCCCAAATACCATATGTTATCACCATCATTTAACACATAGTGCAGGAAATCCTGTTCTTTGCAGAAGAACTTCAAAGAACCACTTCTGGTTCTCCTGGGTAACATTTATTTTTTTCTTTGCTAACCCCAAAGCGCAGACAGATATATATTTTCCCTCTAGTAAATTGCTAGTGACACTCCATTTCTTTCCTGCCATCCTCAACCCCATTGTCCAACTGACCTCTCGAATTTCACTACCCTTCTAGGCTGAGGAGTTGTGCTTAGCTATTTACAGAGGCCCACTTACTTACTTGACTTTACCCTGTACTTTCCCTTTCTTTTCTAGGCTCTGAATTTCTCACCTTTTAGCTCTGCCATGTTGAAGAGACTTCCTCTGCCCCTGTGTGAATCCTCTTCTTTTGTCCCAGTAACTTTTTTTGCTAGAAAGAGCTGTCTTTTAAGACAGCTTTACCTTGCATGTTTTACCTTACTTTTGCATTTTAAACAAAGAAACCTTCATTCAAGTTATCAGAAATAAGCACATGATATTAGTTCCCTTAAGTGACTGGGATGTCTCATTTAGACCTTCACTAGTTTATTCATACAGTGTATGTTTACTGAGTGCCTACTGTGTTCCAAGCACCACGAGAGCGAGTTACGAACATAAACATTCTACGTTCTAGAGTAAGACAGTGAACAAGTAAATGAACAAGCAGTCATTGTTCTGTATTCTGTTATTCCATAAAAATTGTTAGAGATTGATTTTATGGACATGCAGCAGAAAGTTGCAACTTTTGCTCTTGGCATTGGATTCCAGACACCTGGTCGTCTGTTCCAGTCATCCATCCTCACTCTCCAGGTAGTTGAACTTGGGTCATGAGTACCCAGATTATGATTTGGAAAAGTAGTAGTTTCCTGGGGAAAAAAAAGTAGGTCGTTGGCCACTCTCATAGGACTGAAAAAGAAACAATAACCCAGTGTGCATGTCATTCAAAGCAGGATGTTGAGCAGTTCTTCACTAAATCATAGTATTGTGCACTTACCATGGAAATCATTTTCAAATGCAGTATATATCACACCAATTCAGAGAAGATATGCACCAAGTGTCTCTGATATAAACCTCACATCAGGATGGCGACAGAGTGATTAGTGAACTTCATGGTATTTTCTTATGTGCTTTACTGTTAGGGTAAATAGTTATTTTTCATCTGCTCATAGTTGTAAGTTATCACAAGATGGATGGATCCATGGCTTGCCAGAAGCCATAACTCTTTATTTAGTTGACATGACCAGATTCCTAATTTCGTCCTCTGAGAGCTTGAGAGTACAATAAAACATTGACTTCTTCTGACCTTCCCCTCTGTCTTCTCTGGGCAGAATATCTCGATGCATAACACAGTTGGTGGGGCCATGGCAGGGCCCGGAGCTCACCAGCTTGGCAGCACCCGGATGCCCAACCATGACACCAGTGTTGTGATTCAGCAAGCCATGCCGTCACCCCAGTCCAGCTCTGTCATCACCCAGGCACCTTCTACCAACCGCCAGATCGGGTAAGGAGACTTCCTCGGCTGTCTCTGGGGCCTGGCTGGAGCTCGGAGAATGTTCTGGACTTTCTCCTTGTTTCTGGTGCTCAGACTGAATGAGACAGAAGTTGGTGTTCCTGGTTGGCGTGAAATCACCTGGCACTCAGAGTGATGCTTTTAATGGGAGAAGGGAGGGGAGCCCCCATTTGGTGGAGACTATTTGATCCTGGACTTTGGGGGACAAAGCAAGTCATTCTGTGTCATCATTTCTTCAGACAAGATTTGTGACTGTGGAAAACGCCTTGGGTGTTATGGAGAGCAGAGCATAGTTTCCAGGACAAATGCTTAAGGATGGTAGAGGGAAGTTTCACCAGCCCACTTTCCTCCCCAACAGAGTGTGTCCCTTTTTTCCTAAGATCTGCTAAGCACATCCCCTGGGTCTTTCATGTATTTCCAGTCTTCCTTCCTCTGATGATTCTTCCTTGCTTCTTTTCCTTGTTAATACCTCTTTATTAGCTCTCCCCTTCCTCTGTATTGGTCCAGGCTCATTCCTGGTGTAGACAAAACAAAAAAAAAGTAAGCCGTTTCCCCCTCATTTATGTAAAAAAGACAGTAGTGTGGTATTGAGCAAAATTGGTAGAAAGCTCCTGTCAGAATCCCAGACACTCTGAATTTTCACTTCTGAGTCTCAGGTGACAACTCTAGCCCTTGGCTACTCGAGTGTGGTCTGAGGACCCGAAGCCTGGGCATGACCCGCCAGCTTCTCAGAAATGCAGCATCTCTGGCCTTCTTCCTTACCTTCAGGATGATGGTGGTGTGTCTTCTTTCCACCCTTACCAAGAGCAGAGTGAAGACAAAATAAAAGATTTAAGAGCAGTCAGGTTCTTAGGAAGAAAAGGTAGTAACTTAAGCCAAAGTGCTCTGATAAATTTATATTGCTGGAAGCTGAGAACTGCTTGCTGTATGTTCCCAGAATTCTCTCTCTAAAATAGGAAAGGGAGCTTGCGGTGTTTAGTATGTGCAGCAGAATTTAGTGTGAATATTCAGCTGAATATTGGATATGGTGATTTAAAAAAAACCCATTAGAAGCTGCCTGACAATTTGTCACTGTGTCTTTCCCCCTTTGTTTTTGTTTTTTTTTTAAAGATTTTATTTTTAAGTAACCTCTACACCCAACGTGGGGCTTGAACTCACAACCCCAAGATTAAGAGTTGCATGCTTTACCAATTAAGCCAGGCACGTGCTATCCCCGCCCCCCCCCCTTTTTTTAATGCTTGTAAGGATTTCAGATCAAGAGTGAGCACCAGGAACAACGTTGGCTTATTCCTCCTTAGAATGCCCTAGAAGGCGGGGGTACCTTGTCTCTCACATTTCTCAACTTACCAGATGGGTTGTGATTTGCGAAGACCCATCTTAACAAAAGAGAGCTGTGGGCAGTGACTGTTTTGTGAGTCTGTCATGGGTACATTTGGTTTCCCATTTAAGAAACAGAATATTACTCTGGCCATTTGAATGCTTGGCTTTGTTAGAAGAAGCCAATACTAAATTAGATAGTATCCCTGTTAAATATTTCTTTCCTTTTCAAATGACTATGGGAACAGATATTGCCACCATCCAAAGCAAGAACCTATAATACACCAAGAGAGTGGGGTGGGTTCTTTAAAGACAGCATCTAAATTTCAAGGGACTCTTTCACTCTAGTGGTTTGGCTTTGGGCAGACAATCCACAGTTAGGCCAGCTAATTATAATTATTTTATTTTTCTTTCAAGGGGAAAAAACATAAAATGTGTTGGAGTTTACTAGCAGTTTTATAACATTCCTCCCCCCCTGGAGTTCTCCTGCCTCCCCCTCTCCCCACCCCAGCTACCCTCTTGGAGGTCCTTAGTATTGTTAGTACAATGCTGGTTTTTGTGAAACAATCTTTTAAGGGTTAGCACTCAATTCTAAGATGGGTGTTGACTCTGTCAATAATTTACCCAGCTGGCCCAGGGCTGTACAGTTGGGTGACATTTCTAGGCTGTGTCACTGTGCCTGGATGAGTGGGAGTGTTTCTCTGGTACATGTGACCTCCCAACCCACTCCATCTTCTCATTTACTCCCAATCCTGGGGTGTTGTGTGTCTCTCCTGGTGTGTTCTAGGAGATAATTGTCACTTTTGGGACTCTGTCTCATTGCCAAGCTTGAGGGAGGCTGCTTCTTTTCTTCAGATCCTTCCCTGTCGTGCTTACCATGTTGATTCCAACCCACACATCCTGTCATTTCCATTTTCTCCATGTGACCCATCCAAAACCTTGCCCGGATGGCCACGAGGACTCAGCAAGGAACAACCCAACCCATCTCACCAGTGGATTCAGAATGAAACTCTAGGTGGTAACATTTGGGGATGGTTGACTCTTTTATTTCTCCCAGCAAAGAGGAAATGAGTACTTATTTTAAAACATGAGTTCCCTCTGGAGACTGTGTCTTTAAATGAGCATTTGAAATTGCAGATAGTTTTTTTTTTTTTTTTTTTTGAGACTGCACAGAACCATATTGTAGTAATATTCTGATTTTTATCACAACCTCAAATATTTAAGTGTCAAAATCTGGCCAAGCCACCTGCAAATGTTTGCCATGGCTACTGGCCAACAAAAACAGCAAACAGCAATGAAAGTCTTCATTCAGGCTCAGCGCTTAAGCTGCATCCAAGCAGGGAGACTGGGACCCACCTGTGCCCACGCACAGTGCTTTTTGCTGTGGCCAGTGGGTGTGTTCACGACTGGAACTTTGTGGGAGAGGGAGGGGGCCGCCTGTCTCCTGCTCCCTCTTTTTTCCTTCTCTTCTCCCAGTGCTTGGCTTCTGCTGCCAACCTTACTTTTGCTTTCTTTTCTGCCCCTTCTTTCATGCTGTATTTAAGCTTAGAGGCTTGAATGTATTGGGAGTGGTGTGGACAAGGAAGGGCTTGGAAATGGGAATAGCACTGGTGTCTGGGGAAGATTTTGGGGGACTAAATGTATGCATTTCTGTAAGCATTTGATTTTCATGTTTTTTGAGCAGGCGCTGAGCCAATGTAGACCAAAATAGATGGAAATGCAAAAATCCAAAGAAATAAATGTAAAAGTAGGTAGATAAGCAACATAGGCAACGTCCGTGCCATCCCATATCACCCCCCACCATGCCCTATGCCCAGTTCTGTCAAAGTAATGCTGTTATCCCAATAGAAACTGGAGGTAAGTATAAATATCCCAAATTGCACTCGTGTGGTTAGGCAGGCTAGAAAAACACACAGTGCTAGGGAGTGTGGGAGGCATCCCCAAACTAGAGACTACTTGTGCTTAGTCAGACTGGCAGACGCTCTGTCGGGAAGAGTGTCTTTGGCTGATTGATGGTAGCATTTTAGGAGATAAGTTTTCCAGATGGAAAAAAAAAGGGTTGAGCCATGGGCTGTGGGGGAGACAAGTGAGACAGAAAACAAGCATGTGTTAAATATAGATGAAATTGATTCAGCCTTGGACCAAATATGTGGCAGATTCCAAGCAGTATCTCTATTGCAGTCATTTTTATTAGATATCATGTAACAGGCTCATTAATTCAGGATTAAGTCAGCAGAACCTGGGAAAAATGGTAGATGAGCATGTAAGTGGTCACGTACATCCCTTTCTCTGTCTCTTACTCTCTCTTTGTCTCTCTCTGTCTCTCTTCACATGAGATGTTTTTGTAGGAGCCAATGAGCAGTTGAGGAGGTGGCTATAATCTTAATAGATTCTGGCTTACCTAAAGAAGCCTATTTCTCTTTATGGAGTAAGTGTGAGCAGGTAATTCATGCTCAGTAATTCTTCAGGAGAGCAATGAAGATAGTATGGAATGTGGAGATCGGCAAGAACGGACATGAGTACAGAATTCTGATAGGTTGTGGGAGGCACTGCCACTGTATTCCACATGTTTTCTTCCTGTATTCTTTTTGTATTCAAAATGTTCTACAAATTCAATTCTCTGTAGGGATTTGGGCAAATAAGCAAGCTTGCGAGATGATTGGTGAAAATTATTTGATCATAATAGTTTACAATACAGAAATGTTCTATGCCTAACATCAAAATATACAAGTGTTCCTACCAAGGCTCATATTTGGACAGAAGATATCTGGCTCATTGTGGAATATTCTAATTAAAATATCAGGAAACTTGAAAATATGGTCACCAGCATGTATCTGTGAAGCCATGTATGTATGAAATTCCTCCCTGATTTTACATCGCTTATATTCCCGGCACATACGTGTCCGTGTCCATGTCCATGTGATGTCATAAACCCTATTTGCATGGGGTTGTAGCCAGGCAGTATACACCTAATACTTAGCCAGAAATATATATAAAATGCCATAGAAGCAAATCTTGTTTTATGTAAAATAAAGAGAAGCCGATACTCATCATAAATTGTGCCTTCTCTCACCCTTTCTGCACTTCTTTCTCTCTTTTCTCTTTGCAATTCTTGACACTATGTATCACACAGAATATCAGGTGTAGCTCAGTGGACATGACCAAGGAAAATAATAATAATAGTAATAATAATAAAAGCTTGTTACATCTCAGACGTGTTGTTTTAAAAAGCAGCGCTACCTTTTCTACCAGAGTCATATGGCTTTGTTGTAGGAGTTGGTGTTGCTGTTTGAGGTGTCCATTGAGATGGGAATGGTAATTGATTTGAGGATTTTTGTATCTCTGTTGCTCGGTGGGGGTGGGGGGGATGGGAGGTCCATAAATGACGCTGTCACAGAAAAGCAACATTTAAAGAAGACTTCAGTAGGACAGCTTAGGAATGTGCTTGCTCTGTAAATGCGTAGGTGTGTAAAATCACTATTAAGAGTTTTCTTGAGCTGAGCATGATTAAGACTGTCCTGCCCACCACAGGCTGATGCCAGTGACATCCAGGCCAGCCTTCTTTCTGCTGGAGGCAGCAGACCAGCAGGTCCCAGGTTGTCACTGGCTCACAGCCCTTTGCCAGGATAGCTTGAAGACCCCCTTGAGGAATTCAGAAGAGAAGCCATTACTTC